TAATTACTTTTGAAAATAAGAAATCAGTAAAGCAACGGGATTACTTTTTTTGGGGAAGTAATCAGTAATTAGTTACTGATTTACTGATTAATGATTACTTTTTTCAAGTAACTTGACCAACACTGCACATAAGCCTTGCTGCTCCCCCTGATGTGCCTCACTCCCTGCTGTGAGAGGCAGATGGGCCCCACCTACTTTGAATACAAACACCAGTAATTCTTATTGTAAACTATTCTTTTCAAATACAGTAAGTCATTTGGTGAAAAGTCTTATTATAACTTATACTACACACTGATCAGGCGATCAGGTGAATGGAATAACAGTGATTATCTCTTCATTGTAGCACCTGTTAGTGGGTGGATGTATTAAGTGAACATTTTGTCCTCAGACTTGACGTGTAAGAAGGAGAAAAAATGGCCAAGTATGCAGATTTGTGCGAGTCGGGCCAGATTGTGATGACGAGACAACTGGGTCAAAGCATCTCCAAATCTGCAGGTCTTGTTGGGTATTCCCACTCTGCGTTGGTCGGTATTTATCAAAAGTGGCACAGTGGTGAACCAGCAACAGGGTCATGGTGGAGCAAAGGCAGGCCCCTGTGGTCCAATCCAACAGACGAGTTAGGCTTCAGACTACACAGCACATCAGAGCTTGCTGTGTATGGGGTTGTGTAGCCGTAGACCAGTCAGGGTGTCCATGCTGACTACTGCTCGCCACTGAGAGCACCAAAAATGGGCAAATGAGCATCACAACTGGACCACGGAGCAATGAGGGAAGATGGCCTCGTCTGATCGAACACTCTTGCTAACATCTTGGTGCCAGAGACCACAGGACACCTCCACAGATCTGGTGGAGTCCATGCCTTTACACCTTTACATATGGCTGCTCGATTATGGCAAAAATGATAATCACGATTATTTTCACTGAAATTGAGATCTCGATTATTTGACAATATTTATTTAACAATAACAATGTGTTGAATAATGACTTTAAAGATTGTCAAAAATAATATAAAATAGTGCAAATACTGATTATTTTAAGAAATAAATGAAAAATGTAAACACGTATGTTTAGTGAACTTTGCAGTGTTGCTCTGTGGTGCAGCTACGACACTGTAGCAAAATTTACACACTGTGTCTACTTGATCCACGTCTGACTCAGAACCCATAATGTTTCCACACCACTGAAGTTTTTTTTTCCTCTCTTTTCAACCAACAGCAGTCACTCTCCTCTCCAAATAACTTCTGCTTAGCTTTCCGAGCTTCCCTCGGGTCCTCAATTGTTGTGACACGTGTTCAAAATGCAGAGAGGTGCGCTCGATTTGCCACACGGAGCAGCGTGAGAGTAAAGCACGAGGGAGGGGCTAATAATCAGCTCAGTCATTTTTAATGATCGTTGAAAGCCCAGATCGTAATCGAGATTAAAATTCGATTAATTGAGCAGCCCTACCTTCACAGATCTGGTGGAGTCCATGCCTTGGTAGGTCAGAGCTGGTCTGGCAGCAAAAGGGTGACCGACACGACATGAGGCAGGTGGTCATAATGTTATCAGTATATATTTAAATTGAGGCCTACTCTGTTCTGTGCTGGGGGCCTTGCTCACCCTGTCTACTGCTTTCAATGCATGCAAACAAAACAAAAAAGAAACACCATCACACACACTTTATATGTCAACTGTGGCTTTGCTTGATATTTATAAATACAGACTTGACTGTGGTGCTTCCCTGTTCAGCCAGTCCAACTGTGCCTTAAAGGGGAAGAGTTCCAAAGCACATCTGCACGACCACAGTGCAGCAGGTTCTGCATAAAGCATGAGCCACACAGCTGGGTTGCTGTTAAAAGGTGGTGAGTGAGCGTTTTCAAGGCCAACCCTAATTACATTTGACTCCTGAATAACGCTGGCACATCAGTTGGTTGAGATTTTGGTTGCTCGTGAGGAAATTAGGATAATGAGAAGGCAGGAAGGGCTGAACGTGTGTTGTAAATGTGCATCATGAGGGACTCGGTGGTGTGAAAATGATTTGAGGCTACGTGAGAACTAAAATTAAAAATCACATCAATTACACAGTGTGTCAGATCACAATATGTCCTGTTGAGGGGAATCACATCAGAGAACATCTGGCTGAGTGTTGCTGCTGCACTGCTCTCTGTGCTTTGCCTTCCCCACAGTCACTCAGCAGAGCTAACGAGGAGCTACAAGAGCAGGCGAAGATTTACAGCACACAGAGAAAGATAAGGAATCCATACTGTGTAGACTCAGTTTGATTACCTTCAACCTTAATATTATTGTATGAGTTGTGTTGCACTGCAAAACACCTTTCCTCTTATCACAATTACACTCTCTCTTCCTTTTTATCACACCCTTAAAAAAAGTTAATATACAGATTTGAGAGTTTATTCTTGTTTAGCAGACATTCACTTTTTAAAGAAAACTTATTCTGCTTATTTGCCAAAAAAGCTGCAGTGTCTGCAGACAAGCTAATGTAACAAATATAACAAAGTCTTAATTCTGATTCCTCTTTTTTTTGGGAACCAAATGAAAAGCAGCTGAGTTTGATTTTGCTTCGTATGTTAACACTGCGACACGAGCATGCTCTTTATGCTGCAGCAGATTCTGTCCTCATTAATGCAGGAAAGAAAAAATCTCCCAAACACTAAAAAGGCAAAGAATCTCACAATCTAATTAAAAAGTTCTCTCTGAGACCTTTCAGTGGCAAAAACGTTTCTCAGTTGTAGTCTGAACATGCTCAGCCCTCTGCCCTGAAGGCGTCACACAATTATGCAGCTGACCAAAAAACCCTGAGTTCACTTACAGTTTCTGCTGGAAATCACCAATCACAGCAGCAGCCCGTGTCACAGAGGCGACATAAAAAGAGCTGCTGACGATTATGTGTTTTATTTAAACGTTCGTTAACCTGCTTTTCCTTAGTTTTATGTAATGCAATTTCACTCCTGAGCCCGGGCCCTGCAGCATACATAGTAGGAATCACTTTAACATCCAGGTGCATGGTTTGAGAACATCTTTAACATTATAAAGAAAACACTTCAACAAAATTACAGAACAGCACTGTGTTGGTGCAATTACTGGCACACAAAGTATGAGTAATTTAAACCACCTGCATGAATTTGAGTGAACGGTTCAGCTGTGAAGACGAAATAACAGATAACCCACCTGGTGCTGTGGAGGTGGAGGCCGGCTTTCTTCACCAACATATTTACTGGAGAACATCATGTGGCAAAGCGTCTTCCTTTACAGAAACTCTGGGAAAAAAAAGAAAAAATGCAAAATGCGTTAAACAGAAATATTTCAAGATGATTATTTTATTAACAAATATTATACAACACCAGTTTTTATGCTTACATCTATATAGGACTGAATCACAATAACAGTCACCTCCAAGGTGCTTTATACTGTAAGGTAAAGACCCTAAAATAATATAGAGAAGAGGCCAAAATTCCCAATGTCGCCAAGTAAGCACTTGGTGACAGTAGGAAGGAAAAACTCCCCTTTAACAGGAAGAAACCTCGAGCAGAACCAGGCTCAGAGCGGGGCAGCCAAGGAATTCAATTTGCATCTGGATAAATGGTTTAAAAAAAATAGAAATGAAAGAGGTTGAGCAACACCACTCGTCATATTTTTATTTGTTTTTTGGAAGAAACAGGAAGATGTAATTTTGCCTTTCAAAATAAGTGAATTGTCACTTTGTCAGTTTCAAATGGCTAAAGTTTTTATTAGCTGACTAACTAAATGCCACTTGTCTGAATGCACTTTTGTCTGTTTTTAATAGCTAATATTAAATCTTTATGCTAACATAATACAACTATAATATTAGAAGGTTACTTGGCAACCACTTCATGTGCTTGTCAAAAACATATATCGTTAACATTTTAGATAACTTATCATCTGCGTTACTGTTACTAGGTTTGCAGAATAGTGGTTTCAATCTCCTCAACCGTTCATTGGTTGCTGCAAATCCCAACTGCAAAGGTAACTAGTTTGACTAGCTTAGTCTTCTTTGTTTCAGTATTTCCAGATGGCTTGCTTGTCATTTCTGAGGCTAGCAGGAGAAAAACTCTTCGCTCGTGAAGTTCTAATATCCTTTGCATGTTCTTCGGGTAAATTACCATAAAATCCACACAAATGATCAATAATAAGAGAAGCACATACAGGGATGTCCCCTCTGCTGGCACTGACACTCCCCCTTCGCACCAGCCTGTTTTGTTTTTACCACCACGCATGTGTTAATGAATTAGAATCATTCAAAGCAAACAGGAAATCTGAATACAACCTGCATACTCCCAACCTTCCAATGCATACTTGTCTATATAAGGAACAACATTTACTTTGAGGTGAAGTGGCGAAAGCAGAGAGTATGTTGCAAGTTCAATTGTTCTTAATAACAACTTAGCATGTCCAGTGTTCCCAATCAGCAAAGACAAACCATAAGGCAGGAAGAAGACGCCGAAATGCACCAAACATCAGACAGATGAGTCCGTCCACAACACGAGGACAGTCAATAATGTTTTGCAGCATGGTTTGAATTACTTGCAGTGAAGAAATCCTGATCTTTCAAGAGTTAAAATACTTGGTGACCCCGTAAACCCACGCTGGGTAGGATACACCGTCAGTCTTTTCACAGACTAGTTTAAAGTTGTGCTACACGTGCATAGAGATATAAAAACCTTATTATTAGCTTACAGTATTATGTTTAATGCAGACCAGTAACAAACAGCTAGTGTCAAGTTACAAAACGCAGTGAGGCTTAAAATACTTTCAGTTTCATGTTTTCTTATGTGAAACTGAGCAGTTTAATCACTGAATTTACCAGAAAGCACTGCCTCTAATTAAGTTTTAATTAAGTTTCATTAAATTTCTGTGAGTCTGGAGAAAATATCGGTCACCACTGTGTGTACACGATTAACTAAGCTGTTTTTGTTTAAAATGAGAAAAAAGGAAAAGAATCCATTGATCATCTGGATGTTCACGCTCTTTATTACAGGTTGTGCCTCAAGCCAGATCACATGGCTCTGCTATCAGGGAGCACTACCAGCCACCTCAACACTTTCCTCCTCAGTCTTCCTTTTGAATAGCTGCTGCCGGCGTCGAGCCAAAGTGCTTAATGAAAGCGGAAAAACACATTAATCTACAAACTGGTGAACTGGCAGCAGCTCATTATATTGCACAGGTGAGAAGACGTGCAAAGCTGCTGGCCCATGGCAATCCTGAACTATAAAGACAGCACTGTCAGGCTGAACAGCCGAACTGTTAAAATACTACAACACACTCATTTTAGTGTATAATAACTGAGTTAGATCAATGTAAGAACTGGTGGACAGATGGAACCAAGCACAGCAATGACTCTATGATCTTTGAATAGAGCTGAAATAATTAGTGACCCTAAAATATCCAACAGTGGTGCTACGGTACAGCTGATAACATTCACTAAATCCAGCAGTTCTTTGAGTTGGGGCTGGAAACAGCAGGGAAGCTACCCCAAATCCTTCCAGCGCTGTGGATCCATGTGTGGAGCACGATGATCTTTCCTGCACTTATTCCCATCTCCTCCCATTTTGATCTCCCAGCTGTGCAGTCAGTTTCTCTCTCTCTCTGTGTGTCTCTGATATTGAAAACACCAAACTGCCTGAAAAATATTCTTTCAAGACTCACCGTGTGAACTTTACTGTATAGGACGGCTCAAACCCTCAGAGGGAGGAGCAAAGGCCTCGGGCTCACTGCAGAAGTTCACTCAGAGCAGAGAGTCTTGTCCTGTTGATCTAATTCCTGGGCTACTTCCTGTTGTGGCCACTCCTGACACCATTCTTTGTTCCAGAGAGTGAATGTGGGCGTGTGCATGTGGCACAAAAGACAAAAGCCTGTTATAAAATCTCTCTCATCTCACTAAAGTTTTGTCTTTCTTCTCTCCCCTGAAACAAAACAAAGCCCTTGAGAGCTGCAACTGCAAGAAAGAGCAACTGTGCTGCAACAGATCCAAGAATGGAGGGAGAAGACTGATCACAGAAACGGGCCAATCAGAGCAGTTCAAAGGAGAACAGAACCGCACTGGTGATCGGGGCTGTCACATGACAACTGGACGATGAAATGAACGACTAACAAAAATCCCCCGTTTGACCAATCACTGAGTAACAGCAAATGTGGAAACACACGGATGAGATGCATGATTTCCCCGAGGTTTCAGGTGATTAAAGTGAGCAAAATATTAGGTGTGGCACAAAAGCAGACAAACATTTGTCGTGTTCAGCTCCTTTGTGGCCACTGGTGATGAAAGATTTAATCATAATTGACCTTATTAAGATCAGATGGTGGCGTGCTAAATTATAAACCAAAACTAGCACGTTCAACCATTAGCTGGATCCATGTTTGCTAATCAGTGCAAGGCAACACACTACATAGTAGAATTGTGTTCAGTACCTCGTAGCAAACCATGTTTGTGTCAGAAAATTACAAAAAAAACCCCAAAAAAAGCTTCAAAAAGCAGCATCACAGCAAACACGGTTAAGAGATAAAAACTTAGCAGACAGAACGGTTTTGTTCTTCTACAAAACCATAAAAATGCTCTTTGATGTGAAGGTTTAATGTTGGTACTGACTCACTTATGGAACCAGTCACCAGTGGCCATGACAGGAAGTTAAATCTTCTTTAGCACTACAGTAATAAACAGGTGATTGTAACACAGTCTGAACAAAGTACTATTTATAAAAGCTGAAACCTTAAATATAAAAGGTCGTTCATGAAAAATCGTAAAAATCTTTGGTGCAGGACAACCAAGGATGAAGGTTTCTACTCTGAGTCTTTAATAACCTTTAACTGTTTTCTATAGTTCCAAATTAACAAGTGAAAACTATTTAGGAAAGAATAGTTCTCTTACTGGGGTGTCAGTTTGTGTTTCAACAAACTATTGTGTGATTGCTATGCGACAGGTTCTGATTTCCAAGCTAAGCTAATCCAATAACCCACCACACACCTGGGTGGTTGTAAACCAAGTAAACACCAATAAAGATTAAATCAAGTTTCAGCTATTTTTATGTTTGGGAGCAATTCCCCTGGGTGCCAAATACTGCAACATCAGGCAAGAGTATCCATAACTAACAATAAGTCCCTTTTTTAAGGCTTTTGTTAAACAACCCAGCTTCATACTACTAACATTTATTTATGTGTTTAATTACAATAGGCAAAAAGCTGGGCTGTGCTCACATTTTTCCATAGCTAACACCACTGGTACTCAACTCACGGTGAATAGCACTGGTATAGAAAGTCCAGTTAGAGAGTTTCCTCAAACAAAGGTCCAGACTATCATAAAGGCCAACATGCATTTCATTTCAGTGCAGTAGATTTTGTATCAGAGTCTTTATAGAGTCAACAACTGGTTGTCAAGCACAAACAATAAAGCAGAGTTCAACAGTGGCTGCAGGTTCCTGCTTTAACAGAAAAGTATGACTCCAAAGAAAGCTGTGGGTGAGTGAGTCTGTGTGTGAAGACAACGAGAACATTACAGCTATTTTTGTAAGAGGTGCGCTCACACTAACAAGTGCTTACAGTTCTTATATCATAGGACAAAACTGAAGACTTCAAATCCTCCATCCATTCGCTTCTGCTTATCCTTTTCAGGGTCACGTGGGGCGCTGGAGCCTATCCCAGCTGTATTAGGGCGAGAGGTAGGGTACACCCTGGGCTGGTCACCAATCTGTCGTGGGGCTAACTCATAGACGGAGACAACCGGTCTTGCTCACATTCACTCCTGCGGGCAATTAAGGCTACGTTCACACTGCAGGCGAAAGTGCATCAAATCCCATTTTTTTGACCCTATGCGACCCATATCCAATCATGGTATGACAGTGTGAACGGCACAAATCCGATATTTTCAAATCCGATCTGGGTCACTTTCATATGTGGTGCTGAATCTGATACATATCTGATGTTTTAGAAATCGACTGCTGTTTGATGGTCATGTCGCATTAAATCCGTCTTTTACGTCACTGACACAAGACAGACGCCAATTATCAGCGCCGGAGAAGACATCGTGAACACTTCCTGTCCATCCAGTGAAACTGTTGGGAAGACAACGTTGGAGAAACGTGAACATTTTCTTTGTACTGTATAATCTGCAGATTCTGACAGAAATCTGCAACTATCCTTTGAAGCAGCGCTCCTCTAAAACAGCAATAAGGATCATTATTAGGTTATTTACATTATTATGTAAATAAAATAACTTAAAGCAAAATTGGGAAACGTGAAGTCCGAA